GTTGGGTCGTGACACTTGAGTGAAAGTATTGCACTACAGAACTACTGCCGGTGACACTGCGGCCTGTGCCCGGCCGGACCAGACGGTGCATTATCTATGCGACGGCATTCCCCCTCTTGCAGCTCTTCCTTCTTCGACACGCTTGCCCCCCCCCCCCCCCCCCCCTCCCCCCCCGATAGGGTCGTCACTAACAAAATCACACTGCTGGAAACGCAAGTGTGTGAATATCGTAAACTTGTAGGTGTGTGAATACCCTTTCGTAGACTTCAGAAAGCAAGGAAAGTGAGAAATCAAGAAGAAAAATAACTCAAGAAAAAGCGAGCGCCTTGTCTGTAGCCTGTTCTAGGGGGAGAAAGGGGGTAGTGGCACTTTATTGACCCTATTAAAAACAGTCTTGGGAACTGTCGCAAAACGGGAAAAATCAGTGTACTCCTGAATTTTTAGTGAAATGCACCTTGTCCGCACCCCTCACTCGTCGCCTACTCCTCCCCGTGAATGCCCTCCTCTCCACCCCGCGGCGGCCCGGCGGCCGGGCCAGAGGCCGGCGCTGACCTACACCAAGGGGTTCAATTACGTGCCAATCTCTCGTTGCGCCGCGCGGCCCGTCTCAGAGCAAACACCGAATTAGCCGCCGACTATCTGCTCATTTATCGTGCGGGGCGGAGCGGCGGGGGGAGGAGCGGAGGAGTAGTGGAGCCGCCGTGGCATTACGGCTTACGGCCGGGGCCGGACACCCCATCTCGGCCGCTCGTTGCGTCCCCGGCGCTCTCTAGGCGGAGGGTGGGGCGCGGGGCCTTCTCTACAGATCGAAATATTGCAAACCAACCGAGGGCCAATTACAATAGGCGAGCGAACTGCTGCCGCGGTGGCGGCGAGAGGGAGAGGGGGGCGGCCGCGCCGCTGGCTGAGTCACACGCGAGAAGCACCCGCGCGACCCTCTCCCGGGCCCAGCAGCGCCGCGATCGCCACAGCAACATGAAAAACGCTCCGACGATATATCCAGGTCGAAATGTGTGGCGGATGAAACGTTGCCCGTTATTGTGTCACGCAACGTGATGTGGTGAAAGATTTGGTGTCGATACCACATATTAATAATACGACTTGATCGTGACGTTTTCGTGTTACACTTGGGTTGGCGGCGCCCTGCTCGCCTTGCGCCCCGAGCTTGCGCCCCGAGCCGCCGCCGGCGCCCTGGCGACACGTAAGCTCGTGAGCGAGGGCGTCTGAATCGAAAATGAGGTAATGCATTGCAATTATCATACGGCACGTTCTCCGAGGGGAGGGCGGCGCGGGGGGCAGCGCGGCCTGGAGCGGGCGGAGCGGGACACGAAAACCATCCTGGCGGGCCCAAGCGCATAACCCGGCCTCTTCGCCGTTTCCTTCTTTCATTATCTAATCCCCCCTGCACGGATCGCCGATGGGGGTTCGATGGCTATCGACAGACATTGTGTCGATTTCTCTGATGGCAAGCGCGGCCGGGCGGGGCGGGGCGTGGCCCTCTACCCCCGAGCAGCAGCAGCAGCAGCGCTCTTTTGGCGTCACGCCTGGGAGCCGCCCGGCGCCACGCAGCACATTCCACACACACAACTTTACATGCTCAGATTGGCCGGGACAATGACGCGGACAGGCCGGAAATCGAATCGGAAGCTGAGCCCGAGCGGAGTGAGGTATCGCTGCAGGAGCGAGAGAGAGGTAGAAACCTGTAGACAGAGAAGAGAGCGAGAGAGAAATAGTGAGAGGGGGAGGGAGAGAGAGAGAGAAAGGGGGGGGGGAGAAGGCGCGCGGCCACCCTCGCGGTTCGTAGTAGCACCGCGACTTGCAGTACCGCGGCTCATGGCTGCTCGTATGACGCGACATGATTGGAGCCGACATGGACTCGGCCTCCGCCGCCCTCCTCGCCGCCCCATGCCACCCCATGATGAGGCGGCCCATGGCCGTCCCCTATGGCACGGACGATTGGCGAGACAAACCGCGCTCTCATGACAAGGCTCTCTGATGCACCAACCGCGATACAGCCCAGTGCCGGCCGGACTAGACGCGGACCTGCAGGCCCGCCGCATGTTCCCCTTCACCCTTCGACCCCCACCCGCCTCTCTCTCTCTCTCTCTCTCTCTCTCTCTCTCTCCCCGGCTCGACTGTCATAGCTGCGCAGAGGAGGGCAATTAATCGCACGACAGCTGCAGCGGCGGTATGGAACCAAGCGCGGCGCGCTCGAGCGCACACACATTCGCACAAATTGTCCCTCTCACCCCCTTATATCCTATATCCTCCTTTTCGTCCTAGCCTTCTCTTTCTCTCTCTCTCTCTCTCTAGTTGTCCGGATAGTCTCCCGCGACGGCTGATTCGCGGGGATTGCGTTGGCGCGTCGCTGCTTTTTTCACCTGAGGACACGAGCGCCGCTCGCCGCTCCGCTCCCTTTCACCGTCTGACCCCGCCCCCGCTCGCCCCCACCCGCTCGTCTCCACCCCTTCCAGCCCCGAGCAGCAGCAGCTGGAAGGGAACACACTCACACACACATATACCAGCGCCCCCTCCTATATATATATATTCGATCGATCAACAAACATGAAATCGTGATCACACGGTCGGCCACGAGCACATATAAACTTTCCCGCTCGACTGCAGGCAAGCTTGCGCTAGCGCAGAGGGCAGAGGAGGGTCAGGTTATGTTATATGCGGCGTTGTGTATGTAATTGAGTCACTTCCGGGCCGCGCGGCGTCCGTAGGAATACAGTCTAGCCGCACACCCGGAAAATGGTATCCTTGAAACAAAGCAAAATACCTTGCATGGGGGTCTTATTTTCTGACCTTAAAATATACAAGGAAATTTTTCTTTAGCATAAGGCAAATGTCGTTGGAATAAAAGAGATTGCGTTACATTAACAAAATTTCCTTGAAAACACTAGAAATAAAAAAATTCTTGTAATTTTTAAAAATAAATTTTCCCTGGATTGAGAGCACTATTTTTGGGGTGTACACCCTGGAGAAATGGTTCTTCGCACAAGAAATTTGTTCAGGCCACAGGTCACAGAAGTGCTTGAGAAGCTGCTTGAGCGAGTTCTGATATTGCTTTTCCTTTAAATATAGGTCGTCAAATCAAGAAAATATAACTTTTGTGTGTACGCCTGGGCAGCGAATGAAGCCCTACTTACTACTGGAGGTGAAGGTAGAGGTTTTCAGCTAAACGGCAAAACCGTCGCGGACCAAAAGCGGCGGCGGCAGTGACCGGGAAGGGGTTGCGGGGAGCGAGGGGGGGGCGCGGCAGCCACCGGGCCAGGAGACCGACGACGCTCCACTCAGCGGAACAGTATTTTGCGGTCTGGCTGCTGTTGGGCGACGAACGAGGGATATCCGGCGGTTAGTCGCGCGAGCGGTGAGTTCAAATCGCCCCGCTTCCCAGCGAGGACCTGTCATCGCAGGACGCTGGAGTGGGAGTTGGGGACAACAGCGACAACCACGATGAGAAGAAGAGCCAGGAGGAGTGGCAAAGAAAGACGATGCCTTTCCTGCTCGCTGGAAGTGCCTCTCGACCTCCTCGGGTGGGTGCTCTCCGCCACATTCTACCGCTATACTGCAAAAGGGCTGTGCGCGCGAAAAACCGCCATCTTCAGTGAGAAAACCCTCTTCTTCTTGTTCGCCCCACGACCCGGAGAGACGGGGACACCAGCAATGCCACGGCGTTTGCGAAAGCAGCCACAGAGCTGCACAGCTGCACTTTTTTCCCTCCGCGGTCCCCGTTCCCTTGAACCCGCGCAATGCACGCTAGGAAAACAACTTTCAATTTTTACTTTTCTAAACCCAAGAAACACCTTTTACTTATGGGTTGGGTATAACTTTTCCCACTTTTCCTACATTAAATGCTCATTTTGATTTAAAATTTGTAGCTGTTTTGGGAGTCACCTGACTGACTTGGGCCGCACCTGAAGGCCCCGCGCCCCGCCCCTCCTGCAAGTAACCCTGGACTCTGACTCTGCTGATTGGTGTGGAAGTGGAACCGCACGCCCACTGACCAATTACAAACTGACCGACACCCCAAGAATTTCGCACGCTCCGATTTTCGCAACCCGCTCTGCGATTTTAGCGAGTCGCGGGCGACGGCATAGGTGCTCGTTACGGTGTCGATCTGACAGCCACAGCGCAAGAGGGCCGGTCAGCAGAGGGGCCGAGAATCCGAGCAAAACCGTCCGTGACGCGCAGGAAGACGCGGAATGTCGTCATGGAAATATATACTGGGTTCAAGAACCATGGCTTCTTTTTCGAGGGGTGAACTTATGCCGCCGGTCGATTTTTTTCCATCCGACCACAGCAGTGTGTTCCAGGCAAGGAGCTCTCCCGAGGAGCTCTCTGTCGCACTCTACTTTGTTGTCGCGCGCTCCGCGTGCTACGCCACTGCCCCGACAGGAATGGCGAACATGTCGCCTCCGCACTTTGATAATTTAGTTTCTCTCCGGCCGGGGCGCGGGGCGTCGAAATTTCACGCGGAGCGCGCGGCGCGGAGTGGCCGGAGAGCAGCTGAGCGGGTCGGAGCCGTAGCCGGGGCGGGGCTGGGAGCCTCGGCCGGAGAGCCCGGTTGGCAGCCTCCGGCCTTCCTTTGGCTTCCACTTTGCTAGATTGCCGGTTGTCACACACTCCGCCTGCTATAGCTAAGCCAAGCAGTAGTTGCTATACATAGCTTTTGGCGAGGCTGCAGCAGCGCTCTGCTCTGCCCTGCCCACCACCCGGTTTGGCCAGCCGCGGCCACATTTCAACGACTTTCTGTGAAATTTTGCATGGTTTTCAATCTTGGCCACCGTATATAGAGTATAACATTGAGCTAGTTTCAGACCGATCCGTTATGAACAGCAGAAGGAAAGTTCTCACACCGAAAAAATGGACAAGAAATTTTTGTATCCATTATTTGTGTGGAAGATTTCTCACTCTAGACTAGAAACGTAAAACTACAGAATTAACTCCCAACGTCTTCGTGCGTATTTGAACAAGTATGCATTCACACTACTCACCCAGCGTTTTGTTGAGCCAGTCGGCCAGGTCCTCCATGAGCGGGTACAGCTGGCTGGCCTGCGCCGAGAGGATGCGGTCCTGGTACATCTCGACGTACTCCTCGTCCGTCTCGGTGGGGGTGGGCGGCCCGGTGGGCACGAGCCCCGGCCGCGGGTGCGGCGCGGGGTGCGTGCCCCAGAGGCTGCCCGGCCGCGGACCCGGGCTGGACGGCGCCGACACCAGCCCCATGGTGCCGATGGGGCCGGCCGCGCGCCGCCAGCGCGGGGGCGCCGACGCCACCCGGTACGCGGTGGCCATCTTGTCCGGCCGCGGGGGCGGGCTGCGCAAACGACGAATCTGCAGCAACAAAAAGAAGGGAACGGGGGAGTTAAATATGATAATGGCGGAAAATGCGGAAGTTATGAGCAATATGATTCCAGTATATTTCTCGCTTGAGCAGACAGAGAGCATACGCGGAGCGCCGGCGGAGAGCCCGGAACCGGACCCGCCTCCGCAAACGCCCCGCTCTCCTGACCGATACAAACGAAAAAAAATGAAAAGTGACAATCACTGGGTTAGCCGCAACGAGGCGAGGGAGGGATCACTTTCACTGCATGCACGGCGGTGCTGCCCTGCAGCACACAGCTGCCTGCATTCCACATGACATTGCAACTTTCCTCGTTTTGCTTCGACTTGTTTTTTTTTTACCCCCTTCCTCAAACAGCTGTCTTTTAAAATTGCTACTCGTGCATCCCAGACTGGCATGTCATACTAAGCGGCAGGCAATAGGCAATCGAAGTCGGTATGTGGAGTAGATGAGTAAAGTATAATAGTGGTGGTTGAATGTGGTTAAGGATACTCATTCTCATAATCTTCCTAAAATCAAAATTTTCCGATACCGGGAATCGAACCCGAGCCTCCTGGGTGAGAGCCAGGTATCCTAGACCATATCGGATGGATGAGGAGAAGAGATCACACGAGCCAAGAGATGCGCCCGCGTGAGCCACTTTTGAGACCCCGCCGCGCGGCCGACTGATCACGGCGACACCTCAGTTCTATACAGTAGTAGGAGTACACTGTCGAAAGCGCTGAAAAACGCAAAATTCTTTGAGGGCGCTTCGCTTTATGTTGCAGGTCACAGGTCCGCTGCTTTCCTCATCATAGTTAATAAAAGATGGCAACAATTATCTTACGATAAGGCACCAAACATCATGAAAATTTTTAAATAGCTATTGGGGTAAAGTGAAAAGGGAGTTCCAATAATTGAACGTAAAAGTGAAAAACGTGTTTCCGCCCGGGATCGAACCGGGGACCTTGTGCGTGTGAAGCACACGTGATAACCACTACACTACGGAAACCTGTTATAAAGCGCGGCCAGCGAACTGACCACAGGGCAAATCACGACGCAGCCACACCACAAGATTAGTCTGCGACATCGGTAAATAAAAAAAAAAAGAACGTGTTCCCGCCCGGGATCGAACCGGGGACCTTGTGCGTGTGAAGCACACGTGATAACCGCTACACTACGGAAACCTGATGAACGCGAATGTGAACGGGATCGACCACTCTCGGCCGAAACTCAGAGGCGCCGCTACGGGCCGGGGGCAATGCTCGGAGTGGGGCGTACGTATGGTGGGGCGTGGCGGGGTGGAGTGGGGCGGGGCGCCGGCCAGCCTACGACGACCGGCCTGGCGGGGCGCGGGGCGCGGCACAGCGTAGCGTCGTGCCGGGGCTTGGAGGCGCACAGTGCAAAGCGAACACAGTAGGATTAGGCCAAGGACGGGAGTGTATGCAGTGCCCTCCCTGTAAGGGATACACCTCGGACACCACAGACACACTTCCAACGCGGGAACTCTTCAGGAAAACAATGTGTGGAAGGAAATGACGCAGTCTCGGCCTCCAGTTTGACCCTTGAACAAAAGCTGCAACAGAGAGTTTTCTGTGGTTTGTATTTATGGTTTTGTGCGTGCATACATAGAGGAAAATTTTTGCTTGTGAGTGAGAAAGAGTTTTCAATCTGCAAAACACCAAAGGCTCCTCTCATCCCACAGGTGCTGATAACGGCGAACGAAATAAGGCAGTTTCGAGACGAATACAAAAGTAAACGAAAAATATCCTTCGAGCCGGATTTGAACCAGCGACCTATGGATACCTGCTGCCTCACATGCCTCTACAGTCCACCGCTCTACCAACTGAGCTATCGAAGGAACTTGCATGACGAGTCGTCGGATCGCGTCGGCATTGTCCGACCGGCGCAGCGCAGCCGGCCGAGGTAGGAGCTTTCCGCGAGTGCGAGTGAGACGGGAGATCGCCGCGCCCAGAGCCCGAGGGAGAGCGTGAGGGATAGGGAGGGGGGCCGGAGGGGATCCGAAGGGGGGACCCGCTCAAACCCGAACCTGAGATCAGCTGGCCTCGGGCGGGGTGGCGGGGCGGGCACGTGGTCGTTGTGCCGCTGGAAGTTAGTGCACCGCTCTCCTGAGGGGGGCAAACTTAGCTACCGAATGTGAAGAAGCCGACGGTGTTTGTAGGGCTTTCTCCGGGCCCGCTTGTTTGTCTGTCGTTAGGAGGGGCAATCAGGTGTTAAAAACAACAGCCGCAGCAGGGTCAGTAGTTGTTGACTGGCAGTGTAAAAAGGGGGGGGGGGGCGCTAGACCAGACCATAGCCCGCCGGCCGCCACGCTGCAGACGCAACCTTGACGAAAGAAATTGATCTCGCCCGCGATACCCTGATACTCGTCGGGGGGCCAGGGTGGAGGGGGGGAGAAAACGCGGAGAAGCGCCGTATCACGTGTCCGTCGAGCACTTCAGAGTATACACAGTTGCGCGCGTTGCAGTGGAGGTGGGCGGGAGGCGACGGCCAGCGAGAGGATGCTCACGGTGCTCACCCTCTCTGGATTAACAGCCTCACCTGGACGGGCCGTCGGGCCGTATGCGCACCCGACCTAGGGCCACCTCTTCGATGTATTTTTATTTTATTGTGCTAAATCGAACCTACGTTTCGTTTTGGCCAACTTTGAAGGCAAAAATGCATGATTTCGTATAATTTAATGTATGCAAAAGTTTTAAAACCACCGCACAAATTTGCGCAAATGTTTTGATTACAAACAAATCCAGCGAGTGTGCTCGTGTCAGCCCTTTCTATCGCAGCGAGTCGTGTTGCAGCACCGCGATGGCCTGCTGCTGCTGCCCCTGTTGCCCCGCGGCCGCCGCAGTGCGCCAACAACTCCAGTCCCAGCAGAGCGACCTTAGAGTCCTCCATGCACCTATCGGGTTGCGCGGGCGCATGCAGACACCCCCGGCGCAGAGCCCGGCCAGCTTCAATTACTGAGCCATCTTGATAAATGTCAACACGATATTGGCGGTGAGAAAGCAGCGCGCGAGTGGCGCATTGTCTCACCCCGACGCCCCCTTTGGCCGCTTGCGCAACGGCAGCGCGCAGTGCGTGTTCGGTGTTCACACTCCCGGTGGCCACGGCCCCCCCATCAGTCAGGGCACGGGCCTAGCCTAGCGCCGCCCACCCACGAACGGGCCACACAGCTCCACCGTCAAAATCTATGACAAATTAAGACCCAAAGGGGGAAACACGAGCTTCCGCGTCGGCGGCGGCGGCGGTGCCTCTCCGTGAGCCACAAGTCATGATCGTATCCTCTTCGCCGCAGACAGACGACGGCCGGGGCCTGAGACTCCCCCGCCGTAAACTAAAAATACCCACCAAAACAGCCTTATATTCAAAACTGGAGGGGAGGAAGAGACGGGGGGCGGCTGCGCGTCGCCGGCCCTCCAGATGGGCGCTGTGCGGGGGCTGTAAAGCACGAGGAAAAGCGGGCGGGAAAATAGAAACGAAATGAATAATTGTTGGATTGCCTTAGGTTTTTAACCTGCGCGCCATTTGATATGCCCTCGATATCGATGTATTGTATAATGACACGCGCGATGCCTATCACCGGCACTGTTGCCGTGCATAAGCGATGCGACGGCTGTCGCTCGCTGCCGCAGGTCATGCCCTCGGTAAAGCCAACTGGCGGTGCCATCAGGCCGGGCTTTCCCCTAAACCCTTCGCCAGCAAAGATACATAGAGCGCCCGTACCACGCCCTCATCAGTCAGGATGGCCGAGCGGTCTAAGGCGCTGCGTTCAGGTCGCAGTCCACTTCTGTGGGCGTGGGTTCGAATCCCACTTCTGACAGAACTTTTTCACTTTTGCGGACTAAAAGTGCACCATGAGACACTTGAGATTAAGAATCTCAAGCTCAAGGGCATGCTT